GGACACAGCTTGACTTGTCCAGCCCGCCCTTGGTTCCTCCCGGCGCCAGATGTCTAGTGGTTACCTAGGCGATGCCGAGCTCAAGGCTGCAAGCTTTCTGCTAAGCACAGTACGTTTCCTCTGCCCCGTTTTATTCTCTTCAACCCTTTCCGTCGAAAAGGGTTTGTTATGAGAATCAAGACATCATCATAGCTCTTACCATTTAAGAAGTGCCGAGGATTTCAGAAGCTCTAAAAGGGTGCCAGAAAGGATGATGAGGAACAGCCGAAGCCGGTTTGGCTCATTGGTAGAGCGGCAGTCTGTGGACTGAAAGGTCCCAGGTTCGATTCCAGTCAAGGGCATGTACATTGGTTGCGGGCACATCCCCGGTAGGGAGTGTGCAAGAGGCAACTGGTTGATGTTTCTCTCTCATCGACATTTCTAGCTCTCTATCTCTCTCCCTTCCTCTCTGTAAAAAATCAATAAACAAATATGTGTTTCTTATTATAAGTCACAATATCACTCCATCCCTACAGATTCTACACAAAGAATGTAACCGTTAACACTGTGTTCCCAACCCCTGCGGCAAACTCAGGGGTGAGAAACTGCTCAGGCAGAATCCACGGATGCCCTCCATCGCTCTCCTTCCTACTCCTCATCAAGAGAGGCCCTGCGTGAGGCCCCTGCCTCCCACCAACGGCAGCCACGGGACTGTTCATGCGCCTCAAGGGATGCTGATAGAATTGGTCACATCAAATCTCAAAACAAGAAATACAAATGGAAATATTTGAAAATACGTATCATCTCCAAAGTCATCAGAAAATTAAAACAGTGCGAGGACTGTGTTTGCTTACCATATTAACCAAGATGGTGTTTTGTGTGTTTTTTTAATACATTTTATTGATTTTTCACAGAGAGAAAGGGAGAGAGATAGAGAGTTAGAAAGGTCGATGAGAAACATCGACCAGCTGCCTCTTGCACACCCCCTACCGGGGATGTGCCCGCAACCAACATACATGCCCCTGACCGGAATCGAACCTGGGACCTCCCAGTCCGCAGACCGACACTCTACCATTGAGCCAAACCGGTTTCGGCCAAGATGTTTTTTAATGGATAATTAATACATTAGTAGGCAAGCACAAGTGATTTGGTCTAGCCGGAGTGTCAAGTGTGAGACAAGGAAATTAGAGACCCAGTATATGTATTCCAGGGGTTGGCAAAAGTAGGTTTAGTTTTGAGTACACAAATCACAATTTATTCTTATATTATTGTGATTTATTCACTTATTATTATTTATTATTAACCTACTTTTCCCATCCCTGTATTAAGGTCCTACTATGTACCATGCACAGGGATAGATGATGAAGATACAATGGTGAGCAAAACCAGATATGGTCCCTACTCTTGTAGAGATTACCATGTAGTGGGGTAGATAGATACTAATCAAATAATACCACTCCTTAGTGCAGTGTTTTTCAACCTTTTTTGGGCAAAGGCACACTTGTTTCATGAAAAAAATCACGAGGCACACCACCATTAGAAAATGTTAAAAAATTTAACTCTGTGCCTATATTGACTATATATAAAGTAATTCTCTTGAATAGGAATCAAATAAACACAAAGAAAGTATTTTATAATTACTTTATTATGAAATATTAAGTAAACAAAATAGTGAAAAATTATAAAATTCTTGTCTTGTCTGCACCTACGGCACACCAGGCAACATCATGTGCCGCGGAACAGCGGTTGAAAAACGCTGCCTTAGTGCATTGTTGCAAACCAGGCTTGGTGTTCTGCTATAGACCACTAGGGGTCCCTGTGTCCTTCACTCTATCTATGGTAACATCTTCAGGTTCATTGCTAAGTATATGGCGGTCAAGACAAAGGCTACTTTTCCCAGCTCCCTTACAGGGAGGAGTGGCCATGTGAAAAGTTCTGGTTGGTCAGAGGGTTAGTAAAAGTACTAAGTGCAATTCCTATCATGCCCTTAAAAGGAGTGAGTGTGCCACTTTTCCTCTCCCTCCTTCCCACTGGCTGGAAGGTGACTATGGCAGAGGGTCATCTCAGCATGGGGGAGGGGGGAGACCAAGATAAAGGGACTCTGGGCTTCCAACATCACAGCTTCCAGACAAGCCCTGGGCTGCTTAGGCACACGCTGTACTGTGAGCAAAAATGAAACATCTATCTTATCACAGCTAGTGCTTAGTACTGAAAGGAGTTAAAGTAGATTAGGTAGTTAGAGTGAGGGGTGGAAGAATGAGGAATTGTGGAGCCAGCTGAAACAAAGAATGTGTTTTGCAGGAAACAGGATGTTTTTTCTTGGACATGAAAGAGAACAATGTTGCAAAAAAGGTCAGGAACCAATCAGAGAGTGGCACAGACAGACAAAGAGTAGGCCTTTTGCTGATATAAGGGGAAGAGCAGAATACTAGGGGGCAACCCATTGCATGTCCCCCCAACAGCAGGAATCCTGTGTTTGTTGGTAATAAACTCCTGCCTTGTTTGAAGGCCTCTGGTCTGTGGCTTCTTTCTTAGGTTCCGTTAGACAAGACCCTGGGAAAAATTCCTGCTCACTGGTTCCTGTATCAGTCTATATTCTACATCTGTACTATAACCTATCCAGGCGTCTTCAAACTATGGCCCGCGGGCCACATGCGGCCCGCAGAGGAGTCTGATCCGGCCCGCCAGGTTTTTTGGGCAGTGAGCGCAGCCGAGGTGTTACAGTAGGAATTAGTAGTTCATATAGTCCGGCCCTCCAGCTCTCTGAGGGACTGTGATCTGGCCCCCACTTTAAAAAGTTTGAGGACCCCTGAATAGATTCTATAGAAAAAATTAGTTACTAAATTACAGTATAGCCAAACAATAGAAAATTATGCAGCCAGCCGAAACTGGTGTAGCTCAGTGGATAGAGCATCGGCCTGCGGACTGAAGGGTCCCGGGTTCGATTCCGGTCAAGGGCATGTACATTGGTTGCAGGCACATCCCCAGTAGGAGGCAGCTGGTTGATGTTTCTCTCATCAATGTTTCTAGCTCTCTATCCCTCTCTGTAAAAAATCAATAAAATATACTAAAAAAAAAATAATTATGCAACCATTTTTAAAATAAAGTGTATATATATATATATACACACACACATATATATGTATGTATATATATATATATATATATATATATATATAGTGACATGGATTTGAATTTCCCAAATTCAAATTAAAAACAGTATATAGTAACTTCATATTTAGAAATACACATATGCAGATACATGAATATAAAGATAGCATATATAGTATGATATACATATGAAGCAAAAATCTGAAAATTCATATACCAAATTATTAAAATGGTTTAGGGAAACAGTATACAGAAATGAAAAGGGGAATTTTATTTGTTATTCCATGCACTTGTGTGAACTTGATACAATGAAATGCATTAATTTTTATTAAAGAGGCCAGCAAAGATTTTTTTTAAATATATATATTTTTATTGATTCAGAGAGAGAGAGATAGAAACATCAATGATGAGAGAGAATCATTGATTGGCTGCCTCCTGCACGCCCCACACTGAGGATGGAGCCCCCAATCTGGACATGTGCCCGGACCTGGAATCAAACCCTGACCTCCTGGTTCATAGGTTGATGTTCAACCACTGAGCTATGCTGGCCAGGCCAGCAAAGATTTTTATTAATCTAAGGAGAAATTCTCATTTTAATTTTTTTTTTTTAAAAGAAGTTTTAATTGAGAACTGCTAGCAGGACCTTACACCTGTTGTTGTTTAATTTGTCGACACCCTAGGAAGAGCAATTTCAAGTTAAAAATAGCAAAAGCAAATAAGTCATCTAAAAGCTTCCAGTTGTGTTTATCTCTAAGTGATATCAGAACATTGTATGCTAACACAGCTCTGCGGGAGGAAGTGGGAGGCTTACCTGCACCTCTGGCCTCCAGGGGTCAGTCTCAGGGAGAACAGCCCTGGCTTTTGGGAATTGGGGCCTCGGGCTCATCCGAAAACTGGCCCCTGCACTCTCTCAGCAGCACTGCAGTCAGGGATTCAGCCTCAGCCGCACAGGGCCACCAAGTGAGCCATTACAGTCATGCCTTTTCTTAATTCCTGAGACAATCAATGTGAGGCAAACAGCCATTTCCATAAACCGTGAGGTTTCCCATAATAGGCTTATGATGGCATTGCAAACTACTCAGGATAAAGAAGTGATATTTTCCGGACTTCTTTAAATTGTAGCTCCAGAGGTTCCTGAAAACAATTACATTTACTTACTAGAGGAGAGATGAGAACTATAAAGAACAAAGGGTGTCATTTTAAAATGACTTCTGAGAGGCAGCACAATGTAATAGCTGCAGATTAATGGATAACTTCACAAATGAAATTTCCTCTTCCACCGGCAGCATGGAAATCCCCAGGAACAATTCCTGTAAAGCTCAATGGAGGGTGAAACCAATTATTTGAACAGGGCAGGGAGAGCCGAGAGGAGAAAATGAGATTATGAAATTGTTTGGGTGCAGGGAAGAGTTTGGCTCCGTATACTTCTGTTTTCTTAGTAGTGGAACGCAGGGGCTGAACTGAAACCTGAGATCCACAAAGCCGGTTAGGACAGTGAAGACATGCAAAAAGCATTTGTGCCGCCGAAACCGGTTTGGCTCAGTGGTAGAGCGTCGGTCTGCGGACTGAAGGGTCCCAGGTTGGATTCCGGTCAAGGGCATGTACCTGAGTTGCGGGCACATCCCCAGTAGGGGGTGTGCAAGAGGCAGCTGGTCGATGTTTCTCTCTCATCTCATCGATGTTTCTAGCTCTCTGAATCTCTCCCTTCCTCTCTGTAACAAATCAGTAAAATATATTTTTAAAAAAGCAATTGTGCCAAAAGCTCTAATTGACTCCAACAGAGAGAACACCAGGCGAATATCTAAGAAATATTTTGACAAGTTATTAACCCTTTTTTTTTTAAGTCATTAACCCTTCCTGAGCAATGAAAGACCAGAAATAAACAAGAATTGAAAGAGTGCACCTGACCACTTCCCTGTGCATCTGACCACTTCCCTGTTGGCTGGTGCAATCCAGTGGTGAGCTGAAACTAAGCCCCAGCTTAGGAAACAGGATTATTCTTCATGTGGGTGACTCTGTGCTGATAGCATGGGAACAACAAGGAAATAAAAAATAATAATAAAAATTGAAAGAGTGATGTCCGGGGGGTGAAGGAGGCCTACTATATGATCTCTGAAGATGATTTGACTTTGGGTGGTGGATCTTGTAACATAGATCCACACTTTAAACCTGTATGATCCTATTAAGCAGTTACCCCCAATGAGTTTAATAAAAATAAATCAATATAAAAATAAATTGTGGATGAAGACTCTGGAGTGAGAGGGACAGTGGCATATTCTGGAACACAGGCAGGAAGGAGAGGATGGTGGGAGATGCAGCTAGAGAAGGAAAAGATGAATAAGGCCCAGCAGGCCATCCAAAGATTCCAGCATTATCCCAAAGGAATCAAAAGACCCAGGAAGGCCCTTATTTGTTCTTGTTTTGTTTTTTTCCTTTGGCCTTGTGGCATGGCTGGGCCTGTATTTTGAAAGCAGGAACTGCCTTTGTGGAGAATACTTGGCCTGTGGCCCCTGGCCAGCCGCAGGAAGATCAGCCGGGGGCAATGCTGTCACCTGCCCCAGAGCAGAGGCAGGAAATGGAGGAAGGTTGGCCAATTCAAGAGATTTCATTACCTTTGTTTTATGGGCTGAATCCTGCCCCTTCCCACCCCCCAAAATCATGCTGAAGCCCTATCTCCCAGTACCTCAAAATGTGGATTTGGAGATAGGATCTTAAAAAAGTGACTAAGGTCATATAGGTGGGCCCTAATCTAATGATAGGTGTCCTTAAAAGAAAAGGAGATTAAGACACACACAGAGGGACACAGTGTAAAGACACAGGGAGAAGATTATCTACAATCTGAAGAGAGAGGCCTCACTGATGCAGCTACTGTGGAGAATAGTATGGCATTTCCCCAAACATTTAGAACTGCCATTTGATCCAATAATCCCACTTCTAGGAATATATCCAATGAAATCAGAAACACCAATCAGAAAGGATATATGCACCCCTATGTTCATAGCAACACAATTTACAATAACTAAAATTTGGAAACACCCTAAGTGCCCATCAGCAGATGAGTGGATTAAAAAACTGTGGTATGAGTTAAGGGGAGAAACCAAGATGGCGGCATAGGAAAGCACCTAACTGCAGCCTCACACAACAATTTCAATAAAATACAAAATGGACATTGCCCAGAACTACAGGAAAGTCAACTGACTGGAATTTCTACAACGAGAAGGAAAGAGAAAACCAGAAGGAAAATCAGAGGAGCTGTAAAAGCCTAAGGTACAGAGACACATTACGCGCGCAGAGAGGATGGAGCCAGAGAGAAGAGAGAGGCTGGTGTTCCCTAGTGGCTCCGGACTGTGCTGAACCCCAGTTCCAACAGCACTGAACCCCAGTTCTGGGCAAGACCCTGGGGACCCAGGCTCATACAGAGGGAGCCTGGGCTGTAAGGTGGAACCTCAGGGAAGCGGTGAAAGGCAGTCCCGGAGGCGCGCACATTGTGCACAGAGAACAAACTGTTGACTGTGCCGCTGGATTGCCCTAGCAGGAAGGAGACAAAAGCTCCAGACTGCTCTGAACCCTACTTCCAACTGAACTGAACCCCAGTTCCAGGCTCATTGGGGGAGAGCCTAAACTGTTTGGTAGCGGGCGAAACTCTAGAGTACCTTTCTCTCACAGGTGCTTGCAGCGAGCACAGAAGGACACTGAGGAACACTGAGACTCAGGAGCCTCATAGGGCAGGGCTGACGGAAGCCAAGGCTGTAGGCTCCACCCTGAAACTATGCCCCATCCAAGCTTAACACAGAGACTTTTAAGACTACCAACTCAGGGAAGCTGCGAAAAAGCCAAGACATGGAAACAGATCACAAACGAAAGAAATGGAGGACAAAAAGCAACTGAATATAGAGTTCAAAACCACGCATAAGGTTTTTCAAGAATTTCCTAGAAAAGGCCAATAAAATATATGAGACTTATGAGGATATGAAAAACTAGAAATAATAAGGGATCAACTAGAAATGAAGAATACATTGTTTGAAAAAAATATATTATACAGAGTCCTAAAAACAGAATGGAAGATCGCAAGAATCAAGTCAAAGATTTGGAACATAAAGAGCCAATAGACACTCCTCCACAGAAGCAAGAAGACAAGAGAATCCAGAAAGTTGAAGATAATGTAAGAAACCTTTGGGACAACTTCAAGTGAACCAACATCAGAATTATGGGGGTCCCAGAAGAAGAGAGAGCAAGATACCAAAAACATACTGAAAGAAATAGTGACAGAAAACGTCCCCTACCTGGTGAAAGAATTAGACATACAAGTCCAAGAAGTGCACAGAACCCCAAACAAAAGGAATCCAAAGAGGACCACACCAAGACACATCATAATTAAAATCCCAAGAGCAAAAGACAAAGAGAAAATATTAAAAGCAGCAAGAGAAAAGCAGGTAGTTACCTATAAAGGAGCACCCATAAGATTGTCAGCTGATTTCTCAACAGAAACCATGCTTGCCAGACGGGAATGGCAAGAAATATTTAAGGTGATGAATAGCAAGAACCTACAGCCAAAAATACTCTACCCAGCAAAGCTATCATTCAGAATCGAAGGCCAAATAAAGAACTTCACAAATAAAAAAAAGCTAAAGGAGTTCATCACCATCAAACCAAAATTATATGAATTTTTGAAGGGGGTTCTTTAGGAAGAGGAAGAAAATAAAGACAAAAATTATGAACAACAAATATGTAACCATCAACAAGTGAATCTAAAAACCAAGGGAATTAAAAAAATCTGATGAACAATATTAACTGGTGAATATAATAGAATCAGAGGTATGGAAGGGGAGTGAACTGACAATTCTCGGGGAAAAGGGGAATGGGGGGTATGGGAAGAGACTGAACAAAAACTGTGCACCTATGGATGAGGACAATGGGAGGTAAGGAAAGGGCAGAGGGTGAGGTGGGAACCTGGTGGAGGGGAGCAATGGAGGGGAGGGGAGGAAATGAGGAACATTTGTAATAATATGAACAATAAAGATTTATTTTTTTAAAGGCTAGTTAAGAAAGTCTTATGCCCATTTACTAAACATAAAAATAAAGAAGTCAAACAGTATTTAGATACATGAGTCTGAAGCTGAAAATAAAGATGTTTACATACGAAAACAAAACAAAACAAAACAAAAACTGTGGTACTTCTATACCATGGAACTCTATGCTGCTGAAAAAGGAAGGAACAACTACCATTTGCAACAGCATGGATGGACCTGGAGAGCATTATGTTAAGCTAAATAAGCCAACTGGAGAAAGATAAATATCACAAGATCTCATTCATTTCTGGAATATAATAAATAACATAAACCAATGAACAAAAATAGATCCAGAGACACAGAAGCATCGAACAGTCTGTCAAACCTCAGAGGAAAAGCAGGGGAGGTTAAAAAGGGTGGGGTAAGCCGAAGCCAGTTTGGTTCAGTGGTAGAGCGTCGGTCTGCGGACTGAGGGGTCCCAGGTTCGATTCCGGTCAGGGGCATGTGCATTGGTTGCGGGCACATCCCCAGTGTGGGGTGTGCAGGAGGCGGCTGCTGATGTTTCTCTCTCAGCGATGTTTCTGGCTATCTATCTCTCTCCCTTCCTCTCTGTTAAAAATCAATTTAAAAAAAAAAAAGGGTGAGGTAATAGATCAACCAGAGGACTTGTATGCGTACATATAAGTATAACAAATGGACACAGAAAGTAGGGGGGTGAGGACATGTTCGGGGGGGGAGGGGCTGAGGAGAGGTCAATGGGGGAAAAAGGAGACACACTAGTATGTAATACTTTAAACAATAAAGAATTTATACTTTAAAAAATAATTTTAAAAAATAAAAAGAGAGGCCTCAGAAGGAACCAAATTCACCAACACGGACCTCAGATTTCTGGCCTCCAGAATCATGAGAAAATCAATCTCTATTGTTTAGGCTACCCCCTCTGTGGTATTTGTTACGGCAGCCCTAGAAAACTAGTACACTTTGCAAAAAAAAAAAAATAAATAAATGAAGAATAAAACCTTTGGAAAAAATAGATATACTATGTAGGAAAGCACGAGACTTTGTTGGAAAGTCTGTAAGGAGGAATCTCGGAAAGGTTGAGGGCCTCTAGGGGGGCCCTGCCGAAGATGGCAGCCCCTACCTTGACTTTTCCAAATAAATTGGAGCCCCTGGAATCTCTATGTTTAGTCTTTAGAAACGACCTTGTAGAAGTATGTGCTTTCTCAAGGATATTTACCCTGCTGATTGTATCTAAAGGTTAATTTGAGTTCAAGCTGTGATTATAATAAAAGCCTAAGAAGGCACGCAAGTGGGGCTGTTTGGTGCCAATAGCCAAGCAGTCCCTTAGCCTCTCTTTCACAGAAGTGAGTGTCAGACTAATCCATTCACCCATCACTCAGCGTCTACAGTCAGTCCTTACACATTAGATTTATTCTAATTGGAAGCAGAGTAATGAATGATGGTAAAATTCAAACAAAAGAGCATTTCTTCAGTATTCCCAGCGATGGCTTCCACAACGCATCTGTATTTTCCCTAAAATGAAGAATAAGAAACACAAGTAATATAAATATTATGTGCCTCTATTTTGAAAGACTTTTTTATTACTAGGGGGAAGTCATTTAAATTGAATTGCTTATCATTTTCTCAGTTTTCTAATGAGATGAAATTTTATGTTTTTGAATTCAGCAGACTCAAATAAAACTCATTTATTTCCCAAGTATGAGAATGTTTTTAACAACTTTTGAGACTAACCTATGAGATTTTCAAACATTAAATGTCATTTGTAATCAGTAAAGAATATGCATTGTTAAAGTTTATTTTTAAATATTCACCCAAAGTGAAATGTGCAAAATTTTCATTGCTAGGTATCTAATGCAAACATCTAAAAGCACATGGTTATTATTCATAGAGGCAGCTACAGAGTTCTGACAATGCTTTCACCCAGAAGTCACAATAGCGAGCATTTGCATTACGTTTAGCCTTGTATGTTAGAGGGGGAAAAACATGATGTGAAAACGAGCTTTCTTTCAT